AAAGAAAAGAAAAGAAAAAGAAAGTCTATGAGTTGCCCATTTTTTAAAAAGCAAGTATTAATTAACTTCCTATTGTATACCCAGAGATGGATACAGAGGCCAACAAAGCAGACGCAAAGCTTATCATCTAGAGAACAAACATGTATAAATAAAAATTAAGCACAGAAACATATATAAAATTACAAATCTTGATGCAGTGATGAGGGGGAACGCATGGGGCAGTGTGAGGACACAGGGCAGAAAAGACAGCATAGCTGGCGTTGGTGCACCACGGAGCCTTCTCTGAAGAGGTGACCCTAGGCCAGGCTGGCTGTGAGCACAAAGGAGAGCAGGCAGTGGGCAGAGCCTGCGGGAAGGTCCTGAGGCTGGACAGTGACAGCCCACGAGGGAAGGGACAGAGTAAAAGAGGAAGCAGATAGCGAAGGTGGGGGCCAGCTTACATAGAGCCTTCTAAACCATGGCAAAAACAATAAAATATATTGTCAGTGCTGAGAACAGTGGGAAGAGACCAAAGGATTTCAAATGGCAAAGCAATGGAATCCCAAAGTTTGTTTTAAAAGTTTACTGCATCAATTGTACAAAGCAGATTGGATGAAGATGGGAAATTGTTGCTAAAGTTCTTTTAGAAAACTGATGAGCAGAGCCCAGGGAGGCTTCCACAGTCACCTTGACTCAGACCACAAGGACCTGTTTTTTTTAAAAAAAAAAAAATTATTTATGACTTATAATCTTAAAAAATGCATACCATTTTCCCAAATTGAAGTGTACCGTATTTTTTTCAAATGTCTTATCAATCCAAATGACCTAAAGTCGTACTCTGTGGCTTCAGGGCTGTATGTTTCCTAAGAGGACATTCCTGGCTATCTTTTGGTCTACTTCCCAGGTTTTCCAAGAACGGTGGTTGAGAGGGGTAGTCACAACTGGGAAGTAAATACGTAGATTATGTGCATCTGATTCTGATTCTGATTCTCCTACCCAGCCTCAAGTTCATTACACAGCAGTAGAAACAAATGTCAGCGGCAGGAAGTACACAACAAGAAGAATTAACCACAGTGCTTTTTTCATCCGAACTCACACACAGAGTCACACACAGACACACATACAGTGGGTTTGAAGTGGGTAGAGTGGAGGTAGCCAGCCTTCTCACATTCTCAACCAGGAGGATCTCACGGCAGTCATCAAAACAACACGCTTTTAGCTGTTGACCTTTCAAGACAGAGGGTTTTGAAGGGAGAAGAGAGAAAAAGGAAGGAAAAATGCCTGGGCTTTGCACCATTTCTCATTCTGACGGTTGAACACTGAATCGGTC